AGGCATTGTGGTGCGTGCCTGTAGTCCCTGCTACTCAGGAGGCTGAGGCAGGAGAATCGCCTGAACCCAGGAGGCAGAGGTTGCAGCGAGCCTAAATCATGCCACTGCACTCCAGCCTGGGTGAAAAGAGAGACTCTGCCTCAAAAAATAAAACAAAAAAGTTAGCTGGGGGTGGTGGTGTGCACCTGTAGTCTCAGCTACTAGGGGCCAAGGTTGGAGGATCACTTGAGCCTGGGAGTTCAAGACCAATCTGGGGAACAGAGCAAGACTCCATCTCAAATTAATTAAAGATCATGCACTTGGTGCTTTATAGTTTCCTTCCCAGTTTCGAAAGAAATATAACACTTGTTAGGTAGGCATGGTTAGAAGACATACAATATCAGCATGGTTCCTGCTTTTTAGTAACTAACAAACTACTGAGGGAAATAATGTTTCACAAGTTACCAAATGGAAGCCAGACCTCAGAAAATGAAGAGATCTATTATGTTTTTTGAAAGCATGAGTTAGAACTTAAATAGGTCATAACCAGAGTTTGAGAGTAATTTAGGTAAAGTGGAGAAGGAAAAGCTTTCCAAGTAAGGGGGACAACATAAAGAAAGGTGGTGGTCGGTGAGAAAAGTGAGAGGATTGAAAAACTACCTGTCAGGTACTATGCTTCTTAGCTGGGTGATGAAATGATCTACATATCAAACCCCCATGACACACAATTTGCATATGTAACAAACCTGGGTGTTCTGGGTTTTTTTTTTTAAAGATGAGGTTTCACCATGATGGCCAGGTTGGTCTTGAATTCCTGACCTCAGGTGATCCACCCACCTTGGCGTGAGCCACCGTGCCAGGCTTTTTTTTTTGAGACGGAATCTTGCTCTGTCACCAGGCTGGAGAGCAGTGGTGCGATCTTGACTCACTGCAACCTCCAACTCCCAGGTTCAAGCTATTTGCCTGCCCAGGTATCTGGGATTACAGGCACGCGCCACCACGCTCAGCCAATCTTTTTTTGTATTTTTAGTAGAGACAGGATTGCACTGTGTTGACCAGGATGGTTTCTATCTCCTGATCTTGTGATCCACCCAACTTGGCCTCCCAAAGTATTGGGATTCCAGGCATGAGTCACTGCACCTGGCCTTTTTTTTTTTTTTCCCCC